TTGATTCTTTCTCAACTTATCTTTTATTGGTACTACTCCTGCCAATTCTTGAATACACTCATTCCTAATTCTGTCTTGTCTAGTCTTACCACACATCTACCTTAGCATCCTCATCTCAGCCACACTCATCTTGTCTAGATGTTATTTTTTGGTTGCCCAACACTCCGTTCCATACAACATAGTTGGTCTAATAGCCGTTCTATGGAACTTACATTTTAGTCTAGTGGGTATTCGTTTATCGCACAATACCCCAGACGCACTTTTTCACTTACACCATCCCGCATTAATTCTATGGGCCACATCTGCATCAATCTCCTCCGCTGTTATGATAATCGACCATAAATAACGAAAATGTTCACCCTTAGGCAGTTATTGGTTCTCAATATTCACTTCTCCTCTGCTTTCATTGTTACTATTACTAAATTTACACTCCATGTACTCTGTTTAAATTCTGTTTATCTGGAATCTTTTAGATTCAAGAGCTTTTTTCTAAATTTCTAACTTTGTGTTAATTCCTTCTCTAGTCTCATCCACTAGCACAATATCGTCTACGAAAAGCATACACCATGGCACGTTATCCTGAATATTTCTTGTCAACACATCCATAACTAAAGCAAAAGGATAAGAACTTAAGGTAGATCCTTGATGTAACCCTACAGTGATAGGAAATTCATTTGCCTTTCCAGCTGGCGATCTAATAGTGGTCACCACCCCTTCATACATGTCCCTAATCACATCAATGTGACCTTTTGTCACCCATTTCTTCTCTAACACCCACCATATTATATCTCGGGGCACTCTATCATATGCTTTCTCAAGGTCGATAAACACCATATGAATGTCTTTTTTCTTTTCTTTATACTTTTCTATTACTTTCCTCAAAAGATAGATTGCTTCCATTGTTGATCTGTCAGGCATAAACCCAAATTGATTCTCTGACACCCCTGTTATATCTCACAATCGGCATTCCATTACTCTCTCTTACACTTTCATTATATGACACATTAGCTTGATTCCTCTATAGTTGTTGCAATTATGGACATCACTTTTATTCTTATAGATTGGCACTAAAATACTCTTCCTCTATTCATGTTCCTAGTCAACAAATTTTTCTAAACAACCTAGTGAACCAAGCAACTCCGTTTTTACCCAAAACACTTCCAAGCTTCAAAAGGGATATCATCGGGTCCTAAAGCCTTATTTGATTTCATCTTCTTAAGTGCAATCTCTACTTCAAAGTTATTAATTCTGCGATAGAACCTATAGTCTTGGTTTATCGTATTACTGGCTATTTCTTCCCCTATTGTCATATCTCCATGTTCCTCATTTAATAGTTTCTCAAAATAATTCTTCCATATTTCCTTAATCTCTTCATCCTTCACCAATACCTTAGAATTCTCACTCTTGATGCACTTAACTTGATTAAAATATCTTATTTTCCTCTCTCGTATCTTAGCAAGTTTGTATACCCTCTTCTCTCTTTCCTTACTATCTAGTCTAGTGTATAGGTCATTATAAGCTTTCAACTTAGTCTCTTTCACTACTTTATTGACCTCTTTATTAGCCAATCTACAACTCTTAAGGTTTTTCTCAGTTTTATCTTTCTGCCACTTTTTAAAGCACTCTTTTTTTGCCTTAATTACCGCTTGAACCTCTTCCTTCCACTACCAAGTTTCCCCAGAGCTGGGCCCCGTTCCTTTCGACTCTTCAAGAACTTCCCTTGAGATTCTCCTCATACAATTGGCCATCAAATTCCACATAGTGTTACCATCATCTTCTAAGTCCCAAGTACCTTCCTTATCCATTCGATTCTTAAATATTTCTAATTTATCCCCTTTTAGGTCCCACCATCCCATCCTACGACACCCACCACCCTTCTTAACTTAGTGTTGCTCTCTAAAATATAAATCTAGTACCAAAATCCTATGTTGAGAGACCAGGCTCTCTCCAGGGATCAACTTACAATCATTGCATTTTAAGTAGTCCACTTTTCTCACTAAGAAGTAATCTATTTGGCTCTTAACTAATCCATTTTTAAAGGTTATCAAATGCTCCTCCCTCTTCTTATACATAGTATTGGCCACCACCAGGTCAGTAGCCAACGTAAAATCTAAGATACTCTCTCCAGCCTCATTTCTATCACCAAAACCGTATCCACCATACATCCTTTCATAGCTTAGTTTATCTATGCCTACATAGCCATTAAAATCTCCACCTATAACTAGGTTCTCTTCTACGGGTATCTCCTGTAAGATCTCATCCATTTGCTCCCAAAAATCCATCTCTGATCATCTAATCCTACTTGAAGGACGTATGCGCTAATAACGTTCACTACGTTCACTACATTCCCTCTAATAACTAGTTTAACTAGCATAATCCTATCATTTTTCCTAGTGACTGCCACTACACTCTCCACAAGACCCTTGGCAATTACGATTCCTACCTCATTCCTGCGTCTATCCTTACTACTATAATATAGTTTAAAACAGGTATCCTTAATTTCCCTAACTTTCTCACCTGTCCACTTAGTTTCTTGTACGCAAGCTATACTAACTCTCCTCCTAATCATAACATCTACCAATTCCATCGCCTTACCAGTTAAGGTTCCTATGTTCCAAGTGGCTATCCTAAACCTATAGTCTTGGACTAGCTTCTTTACCCGCGCTCACCCAGAAAAATGCGGGAACCTTTGCCCATTTTTCACCACACCCAGGCATCGATGCAACGTCCCTTACTCACTTTTCGAAACACCCGAAGGTAGGCGCAACGCGTCTCTTGAGAGGAATGACCTAGCATTTAAATGATTTAAAGTAAGATTCATTCTTATGAAGGATCCGAGTGACTTTTTACGTGTTGGCTATCGGCTATCTAACACACAACCCTCTTCCTTGACTCGGGTTTGAGATCGTCGGAGTTGTTAATAACTCCGACGGAGTTAAATATTTGATAGAATATATGATAAAATGATGAATAAGTAATTATGTACTATTTGATAATTTGTTTAGAATTTTTAGTATTTTTGTTGAGAAAATCCAACTTCATAATTATTTAGGGCAAATTACACGGATAGTCTCTATATTTTACCCTTGTGTCATTTTGGTTTTATATTTTCAATTGGCTTAATTTTGACTCTTAATTTCATATTAATATCTTTAGTGTTTTTTTTCAAGAAAATTATCACTAAATTGGTTGAGATTAACTAGCTGAGTTGAGTAAATTTATAATTTTGCCTTAAAAACATGACACGGGAAACTTATGTTCATATTTTCTATTAAAAAATGCTAAGAGTTATTGTCATGACCCAAACTTGGTACCTAGAGGCTAGACGTCGCGACAGGACAAAAAAAAAAGTCAATACCAAAATGTATCAGATTAAAAATATAGCGGAATAAAATAAAAGGGTACCCGAATATTTATATAATCCAAAATATACATTGAAACTTTTATTTATTTACATTGCCAAAGCTAAAATTATGGTTACAAAGTATCTGTGTCTACCCAAGCCCTGGTCCAACTACACCAACATACGGACAAGGGAACAAGTCCACAATTAACCTTCATTACCTGAAAGTGATTAACAACTATAAGTACATGGCAAAGTGATAAATATTATACTGAGAGTATAAGGGTATAAAAATTACCATGGATAATTATTTAGGTTAAACAGAGATGTGTTTGGTAACGAAAATACATAAATCATTTTAAATAACAAAAACATAACTCGAAAATTATATAAGCAAATAATCAACCACGGTACAGAACAAAACAAAACAGATGTATGGACTCAAGATCTAGCTCATATAAATTTTAGAGGTGGCTCCCACAATAGTATAGCACTTAGCTCCACACAACACTTAGCACTTAGTTCAACACAACACTTTGCTCCACACCAAAAATCAAAAAGTCAGTGGATCCATGACAACAGATGGTCACTTAAAGTGACAACAAAACAAGACAGAGTCACATAAAGTGACAATTCAAAGGGTCACCAAAGTGGCTAATCAATTGACCAATGGTTATTTAAATCCCCTAAGGTATGGGACCTCCGTGATAATACTTACAAAATCATTGTTCAAAAACACATTTCATAAACAATTGTATCTATGGATTTCCCTTTTAAGCAAATAAAGTTCTTTTAACAATAACATACTTTAAAAACCAATATAATTTGCAAAACAAATTTTACAAAAACAAGTTATGGAAACTCAAAATATAATAAAACTCATCTCAAAATTGATCATTTACTCGCATTTTTGACTTCGGCTTACTCTCTCATATACCTCTCGTTTGTTATTCTTGTGATTTTATTATCATGTAACTCACAAATTTATAGGTGAAAAGACCCTTACTATGCAGCACTATACAGTCATATGGTTGCCATGCCATCCACGAGGTTTCTTGATTCAATCAATAGGCATAGGTTTCCTATATTCTACTATAGTCCAAAAAATGTTATAATTATATATTTTTTTCAAAGATCAAGTAAATATATTTTGGGGTGTCACAGTTATACTCAATTAAATTAACACAAAATTATAAATTTATGATCAAAATCGAACTAATTAAAAATATAAAGACTAAAATGACACGAGAAGTACAATGACTACTATCATAATTTTCCAATAATTTTCCCAATTATGTAAGTAAAGGGTTAATTTAACTTTTAAGATGAGATAAAAACAATAATAAAAGGAAAGGGTAAATTATAAATACATTCCCTAACTTGTTTCTTGTACTTCTGGAAATTATATGATATTAAAAATATGTTTTAATTAATAATTTAAGTAATTTTATTATTGTATAGGAGAGCAATTATTAATTTTATTTTTTAGTTAATTCTGTTAAATAAAATTTTTTGACAATGGAGTATTTGTAATTTTTTAAATCACAAGAGATAATTTATATTTTAAACAAATCTCAAAGAATGTGTTTGTAATTTATCCTAAAATAAATGATAAATTATAAATACGTAATGAAAATCTTGGAGGAGAATAGGTTACCCATAACACTGTCTTCACTCTATCTACCATGGTGGACCAATTTCCCGTCTCTCTAACCACTCTTTTATTCCTCATCCTTTTCTTGTTCATGCTAGTAAAGCAATGGATAAGACCCAAAACCCGAACCGCCATTCAAAACCTCCCTCCAGGTCCATGGAAGCTACCTCTTATCGGAAACATCCACCAGCTATCCTCTCTTCCTCACCGCAGTCTTCGAGACTTAGCGACCAAACACGGGCCTCTAATGCACCTCCAGCTCGGCGAAGTCTCTGCTGTTGTCCTATCATCGCCTCGGCTAGCCAAAATGGTGATGACAACCCATGATCTTGCCCTAGCAAACAGGCCGAGACTTCTTGTCGTCGAGACTCTTCTGTACCGCTCTGACATCGGTTTCTCTGCCTACGGTGGTTATTTGAGACAAATGCGGAAAATTTGCACGGAGGAACTCTTGAGTGCCAGTAAAGTCCGGTATTTCCGTGGCATTCGAGAAAATGAAATCTGGGGTCTTATTGAATATGTAAAGTTGTCAGCAGGAGTACCAGTCAATCTGTCTGGAAAACTTTATGAGCTAACAAGTAACATAACTTGCAAAGCAGCAGTGGGTAATGTTGGAAAGTTAATTAAGCAACAATATTGATAATAAGAAGTTATGTCTACATGTCCATTGTTTATAAATATATGGAGAAAATGCAATTACGTGTAGATTTAGAAAATAAATTATTCATCAAGGATGAACTTTATAAATATTACTAATTAAAATTTTAAAATTTTTGTATGTGTCTGCACTTAGGCCTTATTTGGGAACAAGTTTTTTTAGTAACTTTTTGACTTTTTTGACTAAAATATGATGTAAAAACAAAACTAATATATTTGGAATGACTTTTTAGTTTTTTACAAAAAGATATGCAGAGAGTAGAGAGAAAATGAAATCTTTGACTTTTTGGTACAAATTGTTAATTTTTTAGTTATTTTAATGACTTTTTAACTTTTAAACTAAAAAGTGATATTACCAAACTATGCTTTAATTTTCCAAAAATCCACTTAATTGTGTTTCTTCCTATAGATATAGGGCCCATCTCTTTCTACAAGAAGGGAGGCGAATATAGTTTGTAGAATAACTTGTCCTATTTGTCATTAATTTCACGAGCTATTTTCCTTTTCATACTTTTATTATTATTGTTATTATTATTATTATTATGAGAAACTACATGTAGGTGAGGAAAGGAAAAAAAAATAACGAGCACATGAGAGGTGCAAGTTTCATTTGCACTCCACTAGAGACACACTAGCACTTCTCATGTGTTGATAATTCTTTTTTTCTTTTCCCACCTGCATGTAATTCTTCCTTATCATTATAATTATTATTTACTGTTGTTTGATTGCTTGATTTTCATGATTTTGCTTTGTTGAACAGGAAAGAAGTGCAGAGACCAAGAAGTATTGATGGAGCTGATGAAAGACACCACATCTTTGGCAGGAGGTTTTGACTTGGCTGATTTGTTTCCATCCATAAAGTTGCTTCATGTGGTTAGTGGGATGAAGCCTAAGTTGATGAAAATGCATAGGAAGATTGATGATGTCCTTGAAAGCATCATCAGAGAGAGAAGAATGGCAAGCACAGAAGAAAGTGAACAAAGAGAGGAAGATCTATTAGATGTTCTACTAAGGCTTGAGAAAACTGGTGGTCTTGAGTTTCCAATCACAGACGACAACATTAAAGCTATCATTTTTGTAAGTTCTTGTGTTATAGTATTATATTTAATTCCATCATTTTGTTTTTCGATAAAAGCAACCTAAATTATGTGTTGTTTGTTTGTTTGTTAATTTGGTTGTCTAAATTTTAATTTTAATTTGCGTCTTAATGATCCAATTTCAAATGATGATTGTGTATTAGAATATATGTACCTAAAATATGTGTTCCCTGTCACATTTGTCCGCAAAGTTCTAATTCTGTTAATATATGAAGTATGGATACTTTTATTCTTCATTTGGCATGCCAGACTTTTTGATTTTTTGACTATTTTAGTCACAGAAAGACAAAATAAATTTTTTAACCCAATAAGTCAAAACATCACATCATATTATAATCATTTCATTTTGTCTCTTACCAAAGTAAAAAAAAAAAGCCAAAAAGGTTATCCCAAACAAGGCTTTTGAGCCCCAGGTTAAAGTAGCCAAAAAACCAACCCACATCCCAAACGAACCCTTAAAAGAGCAAAGTATTTGTATCAGATATCGATATTCCATAGATACTCGCAAATACATATCAGATACTTACTAAAAGTATCGGATACTTTAAGTTACAAAATTAGAATTGTAATATTTCTTATATAGCATTAAAATATAATATAATTATGAGGATAAAAACAAAAATATTTTTTCAATATTTTGTTTAGTTCTTTGATAAGAAGAATATAGTGAATTAAAGTAATATAATTTGTCAAATTGACTAACTGCATAAAAAGTAAGAATTAATTAAATTAAATATCGTTCTTCTGTTGTTGTTATATAAATATATTAGACTTGATATTAAAATGAAATATTTGTAATACCTATTAAAAAGTAAAAGAAGTAAACTAACTACCAACTTAAAATATTACCTATTTCTTAAATATTTTTATTTTGCATTATAAAATTACAGTATAACTTCTCAACATTTTTGAGCTCATAACTGACTACTAATATAATATTTTCAAAAATATTTTTTTATAAATGCTTCCTAGTTGTACCCGTATTTTATTTTTAAAAATTTTATCATATCGTTATATCCGTATCCATATTTCCTAGTTATTAACTTACATCCTATGTGTTTTTCTTCTCTATATTATAGTTTGTCAAATTTCCCTGCTCTATCATCCCATATGTGTGTTGAATTGAATATGCAGGACATGTTCACTGGTTCAACTGAAACTTCATCAACAACGGTCGAATGGGCAATGGCAGAGCTGATGAAAAACCCAACTGTAATGAAGAAAGCACAAGCAGAGTTGAGACAATCACTCTTAAAGCTCAATGAAAAGCAAAGAATCCACCATGAGACTCACATTCAATAAAAATTTTATCATATCCTTATATCCGTATCCATATTTCCTAGTTATTAATTTACATCCTATGTGTTTTTCTTCTCTATATTATAGTTTGTCAAATTTCCCTGCTCTATCATCCCATATGTGTGTCGAATTGAATATGCAGGACATGTTCACTGGTTCAACTGAAACTTCATCAACAACGGTCGAATGGGCAATGGCAGAAGTGATGAAAAACCCAACTGTAATGAAGAAAGCACAAGTAGAGTTGAGACAATCACTCTTAAAGCTCAATGAAAAGCAAAGAATCCACCATGAGACTCACATTCAAAAACTAGCTTACCTTAATATGGTGATCAAAGAAACCCTAAGGCTTCACCCTCCAGCACCATTGTTGCTCCCAAGAGAAAGCAGAAAGCCTTGCAATATTGATGGATACAACATAAAGGAAAACTGAATCTGTTTTATTTCTATTTCTAACCACACAATTACAGTAGTGCATATACATATTTATAGAGAATACCTGTGTAACTACTATTTAACTACAGTTTACATGTAACTCAAATATAACCAAGCTACCTAACTCTGATTAAGTCATAACTGTCTAACTAATTCTGTTTTCTAACTAATTCTGTTTTGAGCTGACTTGTAACTCTCCTCTGCTTTGGTTTGCTGCTGGTTTGCTGACTTGTGCTCCTTAACATGCCCCTGCAAGCTGATGGGAGAGGAATAGCCCAGAAGCTTGGTCTGAAGATAAAGAAACCGAGGGGAGGCAAGAGGTTTAGTAAACAAATCAGCAAGTTGATCCATGGAGGAGATGTGATTGATGTGCAACTTCTTGGCGGCAACCCGTTCGCGAACATAATGATAATCCACTTCAATATGCTTGGATCTTGCATGAAAGACAGGATTGTTGGACAAGGAAATAGCAGACATGTTGTCACACCAAAGAGTAGGAGCTGGTACAGAGATGGACAAATCAGAGAGCAGCATACCAATCCAGCTAAGTTCAGCAGCTGTTTGAGCAAGGGCTCTGTATTCAGCTTCAGTAGAAGACCTGGAGACAGTGGGTTGTTTCTTTGCTGACCAAGAGATGAGGTTTGGACCTAAAAATACGCAATAACCAGTGGTAGATCGTCGATCAAGAGAACAACCAGCCCAATCCGAGTCAGAAAAGGCATGTAAAGTGAGAGGTCCAGAACTAAATTGAAGACCAAGATGGAGAGTGCCCTTAAGATACCTCAGTAATCTCTTAACCAGAGCAAAATGACTGGTGAGAGGGTTTTGAAGAAACTGACAAGCATGGTTGACAGCAAAAGCTAAGTCAGGACGGGTGATAGTTAGATATTGCAAGGCACCAACAAGACTGCGATAGAGGGATGGCTGAGAGAAAGGCAAGTCTGAGCTTTTCCTCTGAACTTTCAGCCTTTGCCCTCTGCACTTCTGAACAACCTCCTGGCGTTTCCACATACGCTTGTTGTCTGTGCCTTTGCAATCCCTGATTTGCTGTCCAGTAGATTGATGGTTGACAGTAGCTCCATCTGTCAAAGCATCGTCAGCTATGCAATTCCTTGCATAGTGCCCGTACCCATGGCTTCTGGTCTCCCTGCGTCAAGCTTGCTTGAGAGATCTGCATCAACTCTATTATCTGCTGCCATGGAACTAAAGAAACCACCATAGAGAAATAAGACTTGCCACTCCTTGGTACGCACTCTTGCGTTTTACCTGTCTCAATTTCTCTGTCTGGAAATTCCTGTGAACTTTCAACAACCCGCTGCTGCATACTCTTCTCGCGCCTCTGTACGACACTCTAGCGTACCCTTGCACTGTTGCACGTCTGCAATTGTACTTCTGCGCTTAGTATGCTCCTCTGCAACTATTGTTCTACATGTCCACATACCATTAGTACCTTCTCGTATACAGTAGCTCCAACAGCCACAGTATTTCCCTGAGCCTGTACTGGTTGCCAAATCATCTATCCGTCGATGAATGGTCTTCTCTTTTGATTGAACCAGATCCTCCGATCAACTCAACAACCAGGAAAGTTCCCAGGAAAGACTGGTGGGGTCACAACCGGTCCCACTTAAGAACCAGTCTCCTTAGACAGTGTCTTTTTGACAGAACTTTCCTAGACCTTTGATCTTGAGATAATCATGTCTGCAATCCTCTGATCGCCCCTGACCAATCCTTATCTCCCTCGATCTGCCATTTGATCAAGCCTGATCTCCTCTGGTCTTCAATGATCTATCTCAATCTGTATCTGGTTGTCCAATCGGGTCAGAATCTGCCCATTCTAACCTCTTCAGTGAATCCGCAGCGTTCCACAATATCCGGCAACCTTCCTTCGAGTATTGAAGATGACAAACTCCCATGTTTTGACAATCTTTCCAAACCGTTCAGAATTTCACTATTCTGACCTCGCGGTTGCGTCCGGAGCGGTCCGTTTAGCTAGAACCAACCTTCGCTGCACTTCCAGGGACCTCACTGAAAAAACTTTCCCCGAAAACTGGGCCACACCACAATTTTTTGAAAATTCTGGGCCAAATTGAAATTTTCAGAAGTTCAGGGAATATTCCGTGTACCAACAGAATATTCCGTCCACTGCCCCTAACGCCGTCTGCCACTTTAATCTGCCTTCTTTTTACAGAAACTTCATCTCCAAAATCTGACCGTACGGATGTGTCCGGAATACTACAAATAGTCGGAAACCACTATTGGATCACCAAAAACGGACTCCAAATGGCTTCGATCTAGCCAAAACATTTTGTACGCCTCAGATCTGCGGCTGCACCGTAGCCACAAAGCACTAGATCCTTCCTCCTGCGGCTGCACCATTGCCGCGTAGCACTGGATCCCTCCTCTGGATGCTGACGTGGCAGTGACATGGCTGCCACGCGTCACTGACCTGGCTGCTGACGCTTCTGCTGACGGGGCTGCCACGTGGATGACACGTGGCGTTGATGATGACACGTCGCTGCTGACGTGGGTCCACGTGGCGTGCGCGTGGGCCTGGCGCGTGTCACGGACGCGCGTCTGCTCAGTCACCTTCTTCCTCTCGCCGCGCGTGTGGCGCGTGCCTGCGACTG